TCCATCCTTTCCTTTCTCCGTTTTTTTTTTCTTTTTTTTTTCTTTTACCTCCAGGCAAACCCAGGAGCTGGGTTCTAAACCCAAGCGCCTAGGTTCATTGTGGGTTCTTGGGTTCACAATGAACCCAAGCGCCTGGGTTCGTCGCGAACCCACCAGTTGGGTTCATCGCGAACCCAGGCTTTTGGGTTCGTCGTGGGTTCCTGGGTTCACGATGAACCCAGGTGCCTGGGTTCGCGATGAACCCAGGTGCCTGGGTTCGTCGTGAACCCACAAGCTGGGTTCGTCATGAACCCACAAGCTGGGTTCATCGCGAACTTAGGCTCTTGGGTTCGTCGTGGGTTCTTGGGGAGAACATCTGCAAACCTCCGCTTAATGCCAGAATGCATCTGCTATATATACAACCACATGGCGATGGAATTAAACAAAATTCTGGATAATCGCATCGATGATTACACGAGGATGCCATTTGTGCCCTCAAGTTCTGGGGATTGTGGTTTCTTAAAGAACATAATGATGCTGTTTTACAAAACGATAAGGAAGGAAGTGGAGGACAATCAAAACAAAACTGCGTCGCATTTTGCTTGGAGGAACTACGATGACATTAATGAGTATTTCTCGAGCAAAAGGTGTTTTAGGAGTCTGAAGTGGCCAATTGACATGCAGAGCAACTTTCTCTATACAGCTAACAAGAACAATAGAGTGGGAAAGATGGGGTTTGTGGACTAGAGGTCATTTTGGAATGTGTTTCGGAGCTTTGACAAGCTATGGGTTTTGTTGATTTTGTTTTTGCAGGCAATGATAATTGTTGCTTGGGAGGAGGCGTAGTCTAGATGGAAAGCACTAAAGAGAAGAGAGGTGCAGGTGAAATTGTTGACAGTTTTTATCACCGGAGAAAGGAAAGGATGGGGAAGAAGATGGGGTAAATAAGTAATTAAAGGTAAAAAAAATTATCCATGTCATTAACTTTTTTGAATGGATTTTCCACGTAATCTAAGTAAAAAATAAAATAAAATTTTCCGTTAATTAACTTGCCACATCAGCCAAAATTTAACGGAAGAACTAAAAAAGGGCTGGATTTTAAAATTTAAGGACCAAAAATGGGCTTTTTTCGGTACAGGGACTAAAAATGGGCTTTTTCCTATAGTAGAGGGACCAAAAAAGGTATTTAACTAATAAAATTCAAAGAAAATTTTCCAACTCCTTATTGTAGTGGGGATTTCTATTCTTTAATGTGGCAGGATTCCTAACTTAGGAAGGAATAAAAAAAATTGCTATTTCCTTGTTTCAACAGAATTCAAAGAAAATTTTCCAACTCCTTATTGTAGTGGGGATTTCTATTCTTTAATGTGGCAGGATTCCTAACTTAGGAAGGAATAAAAAAAATTGCTATTTCCTTGTTTCAACAGAATTCAAAGAAAATTTCCAACTCCTTACTGTAGTAAAATTCCTTCTTCCAACTTTTTACTGGAGTAGGATTCCTTCTTCTTTAAGGATTTGGCCACCAATTTCTTCTCTATATAAGGAATTCCAACCACAGAATTGTGTTGCTTGTTTCTCTCTCTTTTTTTTTTTTCGATTTTTTTTTCTTTTTTTTTTTTCTACAACTTCTCTCCTCTGATTTTTTTTTCGTGCTTTTCTCTCTCTGATTTTTTTTTCTTCAGAACCAGCAACATAGATTCAACAGAACAAGATGAAACGAGTTGCAGACAAGAAAGAAAAGAACCCTAATTTTTTTTTTTTTTGATGTAAAAACGGAAAACTAAAGATACGCAAACCTGATTTAGGAATCTGATGCTTTGATACCAAGATGATGAGAAACCCCAAAGAGAACAATGAGACCCACAGCACAACAAGGGATTTCTAAAGGTTAAATACCCTTTTTGGTCCCTCTGCTATAGGAAAAAGCCCTTTTTTAGTCCTTGTACCGAAAAAATCCCTTTTTTAGTCCCTAAATTTCAAAATCCGGCCCCTTTTTGGTCCTTCCGTCAGTTAAGTGACAGAGTGGCACTATAATCTGTTAAATATTTTGTCTTTTTTCTTTTTCATTGTTGACGTGTTATTACACGCTAATCAATAGAATGCCACATGGAAAAAATTGATGATGTGGACTAAAACAAACTTGATGGCATTTTTCTTTTTTCATGTGATATTTTTTCATATTTAAATAAAAACTCACATAATTTATTATTACTATATTCTTTTTCTTCTTCCTCCCTTCTTCTCTCTTATCCCTCCGCCCCTTCCTCTTTCTCAACCTTCTTCCTCCGCGAACCCAGCAAGGGGGTTCCATGAGGAACCCAAGACCTGGGTTCATGAAACCCAAATATGGGTTCCGCGAGTAACCCAAATATGGGTTCCGCGAGTAACCCAGTAGCGGGTTCCGCGAACCCAGCTATTGGGTTTCGCGAACCCAGTCCCAAATCTGGGTTCCGCGAGGAACCCAATAGTGGGTTTCGCGAACCCAGCAACTGGGTTTCGCGAACCCAGCAACTGGGTTTCGCGAACCCAGCAACTGGGTTTCGCGAACCCAGCTACTGGGTTCGCGAAACCCGCAAGGAGCCTTGGATTCTTCTTCTTCTTCTTGATCAAACTCTGGGATCTTCGTTCAATTTCTGTTTGTTTTCCTTTAGTTCTTTACCTTCTTTCTTTTGATTGAAATGCATTATGTAGTTTAGATCGTGTTTTCTTTGAATGTGTTACGAAATCGTGCTCGGTTTTGGTTGATTTGCTGTAGAATAGCTGGAAGTATATGGAGATGGAATTTGGAGAGTGTTTTGAGTTGATTAAGAGTCAAATTCTACTTTGTTTTAAGGAAAAAGAACCTGATAATCTTGATTTCTTGTTTTTAATGGATTGCTAATATTTGATTATTGAGGTAGTGGGGGATGATTTTGAGCT